GGGCATAGATAGAGGTGTATGGAGGAGCTATTGGTTCAAATTGCTCAGAAGCTGGAAATTGAAGTACCAGATGTTGAAAACACAAGTACCAAGGCTCAGGGTGAAGAAGAGTTGAATGAGGAGGAGGATGAAGTTAAGGCTTCTAGCGGCGGTGTTAATGAAGATAAAGACATGGCCGTAGATCTACTTGATAAGGATGATACAGACTAAGGGGGTAAGTAGACAGGGGATGAGGATGACTAGCTGGGGCCATTTGTTGTTGTTGCTGCTACATGTTTATTTTGCTTCATTTTGTTGTGACTGTTGTTGCCTAGCTTTGTGTTACTTGTTTAATTGTATTGTTGAAAGGCTACTGATGGCCTGGATTGCTAGTTACTTTGGTACAGGATAATTAATTATGAACTGCAAATGTGAATGCCTATATATAAGCTAATGATAGCTTATTCTTGACAAATGATATATGTTGGTTCTATTTTGTGCATATTCTGCTAAACTGACTTGTCTAACCTGTGTGAATAGCTCATATCTGTACAAGTGCAGGTACACTAATTTTTGATCTCTCATACACTAAATCTTTTGATTTTTGTGTTTTAGCACATGAAGAAGACCTCCGTATAATTTGTTGACAGTGAGGACACTGTCCCTTTACAGTTTAGGGGATGTGGAGGTGATTTTTGAATGACATAGATCACTATAACACTTTTTGATGAGCTTGAAGCAATTTTTTTTTTGGCAAATTATGGTTGATTTGTTAGAATTTTGATGTAAAACTCGAGTTGAGCATGTTTAATGTTTTTAAATATAGATTGGACTAATGAATGATTTGTTCGAGTGCTTGTGGTCCAATGATATGAATGAGTTGTTTAGTTAGTATTCCTTGTTGAAAGTTTGGTCAATAGCAATTATGGATGATTCATTTCTCTAAAGCATGTTTCTTAGTAGTTTGAGTCAAAAATGATGCACTTGTAGAGTCATAAGTGTTTTGAATGCATTCAACTAGAGAATTAAGTGCAAATCTATTTATATGTTTGTTTTCAACTCCATGATTTTAGAAACTTGATCCAGATCTGCTCAAAGTTTATAAATCACTTTACATGATTTTAAAAAATGATCAGGGTATTCTTTCAATGCGATTGTACCTTTCAAGCTGACTCTAATGGAATATTATGTGCTTTGCACCCATTTTGGAGCTTGGAAAAACCATGAAAATTTTCATTTGAACACATAACCATTTCCTAAGCCACTTAGCTTGAAAAACCATGAACTATCTTGCTTTGAGATTAAATGAACTCATTTAATGGAGACAGTTAGTTTTGATTATGAGAAGAGGAAGTATTGATTGTGGAGTTTGACAATTGTCAGGTCAAAGAAACAAAACTAAAAAAAAAAAAAGAATTTCAACAGGGCTCGGCAATGAGAAGAGATTAAACTTGGTTTTGACTTGAGAAAGCTTCATCAATATTTGTGAACTTTGGGCTAACTTAACTTATTATTAAACACTAAATGAGAAGTTACTAATCAAGTTTTATGAAGTACAATAGTGAAAAATAACCCTAGATCCTTATTTGTTTCAAAGTCAAATTTATTTTCTTTCAAGTTTAATCTTTGTTTTCAAAGTACATTAAACAACTTTATTTAGAATAATTATTTCACTTAACCTAATCAAGGGCACAATTATAATTTTTAACTCGTTTGGTCTTAGTCTCTGTGGGAGCTATACTTTTTATACTACTTGCGACTCGTTTGCTTGCAATTAAGCTAATCGGCGAACAAAAGATTACAGTTTGCACCTTCGATATGCTCTTGTAAACATTCAGTTTGCCAATTCCAAAAAAAAAACATACAAAAGGGAAAAAAATGGCATTGATGCGTTAAAATTGAGTCAGTGAAAAAAGAAGAAGCTCATTTTTAAAAATTTTTTTAACTTTTTTAAAAAAAAAAGAGAGATATGTGTTAATATCAAAATTTGTAAGTAACATTAGTTTACTATTTGGAAACCTTGTAAAGCACTTTAAAAAATTACTTTTAAATGAATTAAGACAAAACTCATCTTACGTAATTTTTTCTAATAACATAAAATTATTTCTGAAAAGCTAATCCAAGTGCTTTCATTTAATTGACGTTGGCTATCTTTTATAGTCTGTCTAGTGTATATGCGGAAATTAAAATGGAGAGGAGAAGAAATTTTAATAAGCTTGATTTTTAAAAAAAATTGAGAAGTGGGGTTAAAAAATTTTAACTAGTTTTATTACTTTTTTATCTCACAATTTTTATTAAAATTTTATAACCCAACTTCTTCAAATTTTGTTAAAATCAAACTCATTAAAATTTATTCTCCGCTCTAATTTCTGCATACCAAACATATTTAAGAGGAACATTGCATCAAATAGTTCACAATACTCGGTACTCAAGGGAAAGTAGATTGAAGGCAAAACGCATTTTGACCCTGGCAATTATAAACAATAAACATTTGAATATGAAATAAATAATTGTATAAAGCCACAGCTGAATCGACCTTTTATTAAGGGACTGTTTGGATTACTGGAAGCACTTTTTCGCAAATTGAAACAAACTTCTCCATATATTTACTTTGTACACTATAAAGTCACTTTTAAAACTATGATTTTATTTCCATTCAAACACCCCTTAAGTCTAATAATCTTATAAATTATGTTATGATGTTATCTTTATATGTGTGTTGCCTAATAGGAATACTCCTAGTATAATAATTTAAATGAAATCTTTTATAAGTATTAACTTCTTCTAAACCAAAAAATAGTCACTTGCAGTATATAATTGAAATAAAGTCCTTAATTTGTCACTTTGGGGTTACTCTAAAAATTAACTGAATTAATGCAATATAGTGCACAATCCAGGTCATATTCACTTTGAGGAGCTGAAAACGAGATTAAATCTTAGTAAATAAATGCAAGTAAAATAAGCTATATAAAAATTAAAAAAAATAATAAAGATGAATGAAATGAAAATGAAACACGCGAGTAAATAATGATAATAATCAATCATCCAATTTAACAATGCAAGCAATCCTCACTCCAGTAGATGCGAAAGTTAAAACAATAAATTAATAATTATAATTAAGCTTTTAATCCAACAACTGAGCCACTTCAAATTGCCACAAAATATTTTTCAAAATCCTAGCTTACTAATTACAATCAAAATAGTAAAATGGGATTAAAGATGCTAAAAACCAATACTTAATTAGAACTTTTAAATCCAAAACAACAGAATTAAAGCTAGCAAGAGACAATATGATCTAAGATTCCTAACTGCCTTAAAAAATTACAATATATTAACTCCAAAATCAATACAAATGTCATAATCACAGCATTATAATTGAAATTAAAACTATAAACAGCCCAATATCAAATGCTAAACAGTAATCCAGCCACAATAATCTCCAAAAATAAGCAGATTAAACAATACAAATTTTTCAATAATCAAAATAACTATCCTAAGACCTAGGAATTGTTAAACAATTATTGAACAGGAAATTAAAGTAACTAAAATTTCCCTTTGATGATCTGAGCTCCTGTCATTGTTGTTGAATTAGAGAATTATGAAACTCTAGCCACGATTAGCCATGAAAAATGCTGCCACAGCAATCAACCACATCGAAGATGATGATGAAATTTGATGGGGAATCAGACAGAGTTCGCCGGTGGTGATCCCCTGGTCACGCCTCTGCTGATTCCAGACAGAGGAGAAGAAGAAGATGAAGACGATGGTGATGATGGAAGCTCCTGCCACGCTGTCGCTAGCCCTGGTCGTCGTCACTCTTTGCGGCGTCACTCACTAGTTCGCTATTTCTTTTCTTTTTCTTGCCGTCAACTCCCCTCTTTGCTTGCCCACGAAGAAGGTGGTGCACGGTGTGTATTAGGGCAGGGAACAAAAGCGTTTTGCTCCCTTTTTTATTATTATTTTTTTCTTTTCTTTTTTTTAATTTTTAAATCTTCCAAAAATATGCAATCAAAATTTAAGAATAAGGTAGCGTTAATTGTCCTTAAAAATTAATTATTCACAATTAAATCAAAATATGATAATCTTGCCTCTATAAAATAATAATTCAAAATAAAACATATTAAATCAATTAAGGTCAAAAGGACTAATTAAGTTGACAAAATCCATGTAAAAGATATCAAAATATAAAAATAATTGAGTTTGTCAATAATATTATGTACCTCTGACCGATCCTAAATATAAGATCTAGAGTTTATTTGTATCTGTGGTTGATAAGTATTTTATAAGCACTTTCAAATAAGTCGAGACAATTGTTTTTCACATATCCATAAATAAAAGTTGCTTACAAGTCATTCTAACAAACTCCTAATTTGTAGTCCAAATTATATTATAAATTAGATCTTATACTTAGATTTCGGAAGTAGTTGTAGTAAATCAGTATCTTGCTTAGTAATAAGTTCCTCCGCTTGGCTTCACATTCTTTTTCCTTTCTCTTTCTTTGTCCTTAATCCCGCGCACGTGATTCTGCTGATCTCCTATAGTCTCTTAGTTGTGTGTGTGTGTGTGTGTGTGTGTTTCCGGAAGCTCCTTTCTTTTATTGCATTCTTTGTCCACTCGAATATCCAGTCATCACTTCAAGTTCATCATATAGCAGGTGAAACAATCTCTTCCCCTGCTTTTTAATTTCTTGCTTCATTTCCTCTCCAATTTGACATATTTAATAATGACCCTGTCTTTTTTGATCCTGTCAAAATTAATCAAGTTATATATGAGATGATAGATAAAAATAATGGGAATAATGTCGCCAAATTTTTATAAGCAATGTGAATTTGTGACTATTTCTTTATATGATTATATGATTGATTAAAAAAGAATTAAATGATTTTTTTTAATTTTGTACGGAAAATATTGATTGCGGATTTTTGAGCGTGATAACTGATTTTTTTTTAATGCGTTACTTAAAATTTCTAAATTATGAATTTTTAATATTTATTGATAATGTTATATATTTCAGGAGACTGATGGAAGAAAAGATGAAAAAACGGGAGGATTGCCCACTTGATGGGTCCACTGACAGGCACAACTATCCTGCAGTCCGAGGAAGAACAGGAACTTGGACTGCTGGAAATCTTATCCTAGGTATATTTTATTTTCTCTTAAAATTTTTAATCTTTTAAGTTTATTTTTATTTTAATTTTAGTCTGTTTTAAATTATAGATTTTGATTTGAAGGAACTAAAATCAAAATTTATACAAAATTGAAAGACTAAAGATTATATTAATCTTTTTTAAAATAAAATTACTATGGAAATATACTTTATACTTTAGGGGAAAAACCATTCCGAATTATTGGATGGGGGGGAGATTTTTAATAAATACTCCCTCCAATCATATTTATTGAAATATTTATGACTCTTTTTTAAAATTGCCTTCTTAGCTTAAATAGTACCTTTTCCATCCCCCTCCAATGAACTACAATAGTTAAAGAGTAATTCTCAAAAGTTGCAAAAAAAATTATTTTTTTACCAGAAAAAATTATATTTAATTAATTTTAAGTAATTTCTTTAATGATATCAGAAAGTAGGTAACAAGATTTTATTTAAAAAATAAACAACTTACTTATCATATTTTGTTCAAAATATAAAAAAATATTTTCGAGGGTATATCAAGTACATTTGGTTGTATAAAAAAAAAATCAAGTACATTTGGTCATTTGTTATAACATAATAAAAAGAAAAACAAAAAAAAAGTCAATCTCATTCACCAAACCCACCACCTTCTTGAATTCTTAGTATTAGAATATTGGGAAGAAATTCTGAGATTAATAATGAATATATTACTATATAATATAAAATCTATAAATTGCGAATAAAGCAATATTCATCCTCAAACTTCATGCAATATGTATGGACAACATCTAACTATAGATTAAACTTGACGAAGTTCTTTTTTTACCTTAGTTGATTAACCCAAGAATATGGAGGGATGAAAAAATTTTAATGAATTCAATTTAAAAAATTAGAGAAGTCAGGTTGTAAAATTTTAATTAAAAAAAATATGTAACATAAAATAATAAGAAAAATTAATTAAAAATTTTTAATCTCAATTCTTCAATTTTTTAAAATAGAATTCACTAAAAAAATTTCTCCATTTTTCTCGTACGAAACAAACCCATGCAAGGAATGTAATCTCAAAATAACTTAATAAAAATTTTCAAAGCAGCAAATGACAACAAGATTGATGATACTCACTTGTCATTATTATTTTTTAGTTTTTTTTTTTTTGCCAACCTCATGCAACTTTTGTATATTATAATACACACACATAATTTGTTGTCTGACTTTTGTTATTCTTTTCTGTACTAACATTTTAATTTTTTATTTTACAAAATTAATTTTCAACATAAGATAAACAAATATTTTAGTTAAACATAGGAAATAGCATATAATACATTATAAAATTTCAAGATTTGAACCGTTAGTAGTCTTTTGTTTTTTTTTTTTTTTTGAGCTGAAAGTTAGTAGTCTTTTGTTAAAAAACCGTTTTGTAGTGAAGAACTATGCATGTATACACTCACATAATTATTAGTTTAAAGTCTTATGAGTATATGCTTTTAAGAGCTAAATTATATACTCTTCCGGTCTCAAATATAAAACCCATTTTTTAATACAACTTGCACTATAAAATAGGTCTTATATTTAGGACCGGAGGAGTATCTTATATAACTAATATGAAAAATTATATTTTTGTCGTCATAACTTCAATCAAACTGTAAATTAATTTTTATAGTTTGAAAATTTATAATTAATTCTCTGACAATGTAGATAACGTTTTGATTTATTTATTTTATAATTATGTTTTATCCTGAAATTTTCTCATATTTTTTTAGTTAATTCTTTGTAATCATTATAAAATTCAAACAAAGACATCCTCCTAAACATTATCACAGAAAGATTATCGCCCGGTCATTCCCGACTCAACCCAAATTAGTCGGTGTTCAAAGAAGAAAATTATACAAATTACATTGAAGAGATGGAGGCAAATTAAAAGTTAAAACCCACTTTGCGAGTTCTTTTTCTTTGAATCCAATATTCATAATTAATAATCCTCTAGTCATTAGTGTGGAACCTATTTGTTGAGTTGATCTTGATCCTAAATATAAGACTTATTTTTTATATTATCAGTTTTTCTTAAATTACCCATATTGATATTAAGGATGATGATTATGGTATTTAGTAGAAAACATATCATATTTTTTATCATTAACTAACTTACCTAAATTTTTTAATCTAATTAAATTAGTTAATTAGGTCTTATATTAAAGACTGAAGGAGTACTTTAATTGAAGAAATGGAATAATATCATCTTACAAAGATTATTTATTTTTACACACACAATCACCGCTTATTATAAAAATACAATCATGAATCTTGTATGAACACTGAAATCTGGTCGCACAAATATAACTTAGAACACTCTCCAACAACTACCATTTGGTAAATAAGAGAGAGAAGGGGAGAGTAGTTAGATTCACATGTTTTGGAGATCCCTCCATCTCTCTAGAAACCCTATAGTATGATAATTACTCCTTCAGTTAACATTTAGAAGTCACATTTTGATAATTACAATATTGACAAAGCAAGTTAGTTAAATAAATACAAATTCCTGATGATCATCTCTCTCATTACTATACTATGTCACCAATATTCATACCAAGGGCTTTATTAGAAAAATATATACCCTCTCCAATTCTAAACATATGAACTAGATAACTAATGTATAAATATTAAGAAAATTAGGTAAATGTCAATGGTTTTATAACCTAGTGGCATGTAAGTTCTCTAGAAAATAAGAAGTTGTGTGTTTAATTCCATTTGTAATATCATGCTGTTAGTGCTTGTATGCTCCTTTAATTTAAAGTGGAGGTCTTACCTTTAGGATAAAGTAATTCACTGAATTAGCTCCTACATTCAGGACGAGAGAAAAAGATTACTGAAATAATTGATAACGTCCAGCTGTTGTGTGAAGCAGTGAATCATGGGCTAGCCACGTTGGCATTTTATGGGGTAGCAGTGAATCTGGTGCTGTTTCTGACGAGGGTTATGGGACAAGACAACGCAGACGCAGCTAACAGCGTTAGCCAGTGGACAGGAACTGTCTACATGTGTTCTCTTGTTGGAGCCTTTCTCAGTGACTCTTACTGGGGAAGGTATACAACTTGTGTGGTCTTCCAAGCCATCTTTGTTCTTGTAAGTACTTTGGATCTCTTTTCCTTTGAACCATCTATTGGTATCTCTCTGTGTGTGTACTATATTAAGGAGAATCTTTAATTTTATTCACATAATTTTGTTCTAATAAAATTTTATATATATACACACACACATGACAGGGTTTGGGGCTACTATCACTCACATCCTACATGTTTTTACTAAAACCTAGGGGTTGTGGAGATGAACACTTTAATTGTGGATCTCATTTGCCATATCACAAAGCTTTTTTCTACCTCTCAATATACCTAATAGCCCTAGGATATGGAGGATACGAACCCAACATTGCCACGTTTGGTGCAGATCAGTTTGATGAAGGAAACCCAGAAGAAGGACACTCGAGGACAGAATTTTTCAGCTACTTCTACTTTGCTCTCAATATTGGATCGCTCTTCTCCGACACAGTATTGGGTTACTTTGAGAATGAAGCTATGTGGACTCTAGGGTTTTGGGCCTCAACAGGATCTGCTAGTCTTGCTTTGATCTTGTTCCTTTATGGCACTACGAGGTACAGGTACTTTAAACCAGGTGGAAATCCTATTCCTAGATTTTGTCAAGTCCTTGTTGCAGCAACAAGAAAATGGAAGGTCAAGGTTGTATCTGGGGAAGACAATCTTTTTGAAGTTGAAGAATGTTCTAATGAAGGAAGAAAGATATTGCACACTGGAGGATTTAGGTAAGTTGATCTCATTATTTTAGTTATTCATGAATTAAAGGTGTAAATCTGCCCTAAAAATTTTTGCTCAAGAGTAATGTTATTCCAGAAGTATCTATGGGTTCAATATCCCTTGGAAGTTCCAAGGTGTAGCAATGTTGCTTACCCCATTAACAAATTAAACTTGATCGTTAACATTTTGAATAGGGTGATGTCGCTTCATTCTAACAATTCTGGGACAACTTTAGACCAAAAAAGTTCCGAGACAATATTGCTCCTGAGTATAAACTTCTGAGACAACTTTCACACTAACCCATTATTCATCACTAGTATTTCGCACAAATATAAATATATAAACACATGCATTCACGTGCAAGCGTACATATATACACACTTCTCAAGGATATATTGATCTCATTTTTATTACAGAACTTGAAATCACCAAATTAAAGGCTTCTGATATTTGAATATATCAATGTATTTTAGCCACATTTTTATTTCCATGATCTTATTATACTTACTATATCTCATCAGATTCTTGGATAAAGCAGCGTTACCTGAAGAGTTCAGCAAGATGGGCAAAGATAACTTTAATAATCCGTGGCATCTTTGCACTGTGACTCAAGTAGAGGAAGTGAAATGCATACTAAGACTAATCCCAATTTGGCTATGCACCATATTATACTCAGTTGTTTTCACTCAAATGTCATCACTATTTGTAGAACAAGGTGCTGCAATGGACACCTACCAAATTTCATCTTTCAAAATTCCTCCAGCAAGCATGTCTATATTCAATATTCTAAGCGCCTTGGCTTTCATCTTCTTTTACCAGCAAGTTCTTAACCCTTTCATTGCCCAAACAATGAACAACAAAGGACTCACAGAGCTTCAAAGGATGGGAATAGGGCTCATCATAGCAATGATGGCCATGGTTTCAGCAGGAGTGGTAGAGCATTTGAGGTTAAAAAATGCTAGAGATGAAGAATCAAGTGCACTGAGCATCTTTTGGCAGACACCACAGTATGTACTTATAGGAGCTTCAGAGGTATTTATGTATGTTGGTCAATTAGAGTTCTTCAATGGGCAGGCACCTGATGGATTAAGGAGCTTTGGAAGTGCACTTTACATGACCTCAATGGCACTAGGAAACTATGTAAGTAGTTTGATTGTTGCTATTGTTGTGAAGATTTCTCAGAGAGGTGAGAGCCTAGGATGGATCCCTGGAAATCTTGACAAGGGACATTTGGACAAGTTCTATTTTCTTTTGGCAGTATTGGTTGTAGCAAACCTTGCAATTTACATTGCTTGTGCTAAGTGGTATGAACCTATTAAATTTGAAGAGAGGAATGAAGAAGAAGACAATAGCAAAATCATCAACTTAGAGCCTAGGGTTTAAGGATTTTGAATTGCATATGATAAGTTAGGCATTGCCCACCTTTTAAGATTAAATAATGATGTATTAAATGGAAAAAAAATTCCGTATTGAATTCGTTTATTGTATATTAGGGTGCTTTGTGTGAAATAATAGGACGCGTTGGGATCTCTATTTGGAGGGGAAAACGTGTCTAGGAAATTGTGAAATGCAAGTTGAAGAGTTATTTGGAGAGAGATGCTTTTGGCGTTTTTTCCATCTAGCTTTTGCAGCAAAAGCTTGGCGCGGTGGAAAGCTAGAAAATATTGTGATGAGCGGTGGAGACACCAATCTGCCATTACTAACATTTAATGCTAAAAAATGCTCACTTTTTACCAGAGAAAAATGATTTCAACAAGGAGTTCCAAATTTGTGCACCCATGGCTATTTTTATTTTTAAAATTTTAATTTTAAAATTATAAAATTTTTATTTTATATTCATATTTATCCATTAAATATATTTAATTAACTAAAATGAATTTTCAAAATTTTCCAAACAATAAATTTTTTATTTAGAAAATATTTAAATCAAGTTACTCATATCAATTGTGTTAACTTCTCCAATTATACATGGTATGTGTTCTATTTATTTTATGCGGGTATATAATTAAATAATAATCTTTAAGGACAAGACATATGGCCATATATGATTGAAAAATTTGACATAATAAATAACAGAACTTGATATAAGTATTGCCATTCTAATTTTAATAATTTTCTAAGAATTAACACATTGTTTACACATAATATATAAATAATTTATATAAATTATTTAATAAAATCCATGTAAATTTGTTTTTCTATTAATTATCCAAATAAGTTTTAGTTTGGCAAACTAACTTTTTTATCAAGTCAATCCAAACATAAATCATATTAAATTGAATTACTTTTATCTTACCTTATGTTTACAAAAAGCTACTGGTACTCATAGTTGTTACTTATTGCATTTTGAGGTTATGTGGGCTTTTTGCAGTGGATTGAGTTAGTTGGGACCTGATATGGTATGCCTACCTATTTATACGCATTATATGATTTGGGATTTCTAAATAGGTGTTAATTTTGGACTTGTGTTTGTGTTAGTTTAATTTATAAATGTTTTATAAGAGGTTTTCTTTGTTTTTTTACCACAATAAATATTTTTGCATTGAATTTGATTCTTTATTACCATGATAAAATGTTTCATTCTCTTTATAAAAAGTTAACCGTATAGTTTGACCTTGTTTGAAATTTGACAATATAGGCTTCAAAGTTCCCTACCAAATGTCATTGTTTAGTTTAGTATTGATACCCATATTTATATTATTTTCTTGTGAAACGTTTTATTATGTTTGGATTAGTTGTTTAGAAATGCTTTTACGAAAGGCCAAGCAAAACTCATTTCATGTACTTATTTTTTATATCATAAAATTATTTTTAAAAAACTAATCCAAACACTTCCCAAGAGGTTCCATAAATAGAGAGAGAGAGAGACCTCTTCTTTTGTTATAAAGACCAAACACTAATCTGTTTGGTTCGATGAATGATAGAAAATATAATAAAATGTAATGTGTGGGAATGTAATGTAATGCAATAGTGATTACTATAAGTTTGTTTGGGATACCATTAGGAATGGGGTAATAAAATATATCTTTTACATTTACTTAATTACAAATAAAATTAAAAAAAAAAAAAAAAGACAAAAATATCAGCTTTAAAAAAAAAAAAAAGCCTTCCTCGTGCGTCTTGTACTTCTTCCTCATCGTCAGCCAGCTGTTGGTAATCAGGGTGAAGCAGTGGAGATGGAGGAGAAGGGTCCACTCATATATCATCTACTCCAATTCGTTTAGTATAGTTCTAGCAAGGATATTTTAGGAATGAGAACACTTATTTATTATAAATAACTAACTTAACTTACTTTTTTAATCTCCTCAAATAAGTCAACTAGGTCTTATAATTAGGACCGGAGGTAGTAAAACCCAACCAAATAATTAAAACACATTTTTGCATTAGAATTATATGTAATTCTCATTCTTATCATCCAACCAAACGGGCTAAAGACTTATTTGGAGCCGTTTATATTAAGTACTTATAAACATGTTAACATAAGTTGAGATAATACTCTTATTATATACTACCTCCGGTACTTAATATAGGACCCCATTTGACTTTTTGTTTGGTTCTAATTATAAGATCCCAATCCATTTTGTCTATCATATTTATGCATTTTTTTTCAAGATAGTCCTTCTAATAATGATAGTTCTAGCCAATATACTTAATTAGCAAAGATATTTTAGGAATGACAAAACTTATTTATTACAAATAACTAACTTAATTCACTTCCTTAATCTCCTCAAATAAGTCAATTGGGTCTTATAATTAGGACCGGAAGTAGTATTTGCTTGTATTTTATAAATGATGATTTTTTTATTTCAAATACAGAAGTACTACGTTGGGGGAGTAGAAGAGTATATGAAGCTATCCGTTCTGGAAGATATTTTTTCATAGAGATTTTTCTGTGCACGTTTCTTTTTTGGAGAAAAGGATATTTGTTTGCGTTCTGTCACTTCTGTGACAGTGCATCATTCCCACATTTAACAAAACGCTGCGTTTGGTAATGAAGAAGCCAAACCGCACTTCAGTCTCATCCTCTTTCACGCCGTTCTGTGATTCTCACCGAGCATCTACTCTCCCGCCTTCATTCGCGTTCTCTCTCTCGATCGAGAGACTTTTTGCAGGTCACCGGCATTTTCATCTCTCCTTTTCTGTAAGTTTATTTCTCACTTCATCTACGTTATCCCTCTTAATCTCTCTTACGGTGCTCTGTCTCTCAGCTTGCTTCCCCTCCCTCAGTTGAGGCGTGAGGGGTTCAATATTGGCGGGCGAGTGGAGGCTTAACAGAAAAAACACTCTTAACTTGGCGCAATGGCTGTAACTTCGCCTGCAATGTCTACTTCACTTTTTCAATCAGCTTTCTGTTCCTCCTTCACTTCCCGTTCTTTTCTTACCCATAAACATTTTGCTCCGACTGATCGTTGCCCTGATGTCTCACTACGAAACAGGATCGTAAGTCACCCTTAATGCCATCTTTTTATTCAGTTCATGATTTTTCTTTTTCAATCATCCTGTTGCTTCATTTCCTTGTAGCTCCGATTGTCTTATGTTATATGTTACTTTCTCAGAGGTGTAATATTGTTGAGCCATTGAAGTTTGAGAATGGGAGGCCAATTGATGTAACACTCAATGGGGGAAATGCGATTCCCAGTTTCTTGACACCAAATCCTCGTGTTCAGGATTCAATTTATAAAAATGACACTCGACTCCGGATTTTTTCAGGCACGGCAAATCCAGCTCTTGCGCAGGTCAGCTTGATGTTTCAATCTTTTTCCCCCTTCCCTTTCTTTGGTTTGCCTCTTACTCGCACGACATGATTTGTAGCCCTGTTGAACAATTTTTTTTCCCAAAAAGTTGAGGGAGTCTCGACTTTGCCCATTTGGATAAATAACTTAAAAAGATACGATTTAAAAAATATCTTTGAGTGCTGTAAACCGGTTTAAACTTAAGTTTGTGTAATTCACAGTTAACTAATAGAAGCATCGTAAGTGCTCCCAATAAATTTATACCAACGCATGAAATGATTAATTAGTACCTGCTGAAGCTGATAAACTCTAATGATCTTCTAATAAGCCCATTCAAATGGGACCGCTTACTTTTTTAACTGCATTTGTGAACATGTTTTGGTTGATTACTTTTGAACTCTAGCTAGTATTATATGACAGACTATTTGGTATGCGAAGTGCCTAATGCATGTTTGTGTATTAAATAGGAAATTGCCTGCTACATGGGCCTGGAGCTTGGAAAAATAAAAATAAAGCGTTTTGCTGACGGTGAGATATATGTTCAGCTACAAGAGAGTGTCAGAGGATGTGACGTGTTTCTTGTGCAGCCCACATGTCCTCCTGCTAATGAGAATCTTATGGAGCTTCTTATAATGATTGATGCTTGTAGGAGGGCTTCAGCTAAAAATATTACTGCAGTCATTCCATATTTTGGATATGCTAGGGCTGATAGAAAGGTTAGTTTGTGCATTTAGAAATTTGAACTCATCCATTGTATTTTTATAACCAGAATGTTAAATTGGAAGATTCTCTTGCTCTCCATTTCTCCCCACCTAATCACATTTTGGGTTTCAATTTGACTGCTCTGTTTCTCCGGTGAAGTATTTCTTCCCTCTCGAACAAAGCTGGCTGAAGAGCTTTTATTTAGTTGATACTCTGCATGGGGATGTTTATTTCAACCTTTTTAAGATGTTCATAATGTATTTTCTATTTATAATTGAATTTGGTGGATATTCTTCTCATTTCCCTATTTCTATTTGTATGTTATACAAATTATTTTTCTGTTGTTTGGAGGACATTTAAGTTCTATCAGTTCTAAGAACGTTATTGGCATTTCTGTGGAATGTTACTGAAGGCCATGCTTACACTGATATTGGCAAAACTTCACCGAAAATATCATATATTTAATTTCAGTTTGGTTTGAACACTTTCTTAACCATTTTCTCAGACTCAAGGGCGTGAATCCATTGCTGCCAAGCTTGTAGCCAATTTAATTACAGAAGCAGGTGCCAATCGTGTCCTTGCTTGTGACCTTCATTCTGGGCAGTCTATGGGCTATTTTGATATTCCAGTGGATCATGTTTATGGACAGGTAAATACTACTTGGGTTATTTCCTGACTACAAAAGAACATGGATACTGAAAAACATGTGTGCTCTCTTGAATGTATACATACGCCCAAAACAAACATAAATATACATGCTTGACATTAATAATATACAAAGCCAAATTACTAAAACATCATAGCCTCTGTGTGGCAACTTGTTTGGGTAACTCGAAACTGACATTTGCGAAATGGAACATTAACCTAAAACTGCGTTTTGCAAATGGTAAAAATGTTACTTCTGGGAAATTGGTTTGGCAAAGTAGCAGCCCCCACTCACGCATATAAATTTTTTTCCCTTAATTTTCCTTCAGTGAGATATTCTTGCATATCTTATTACATAGAAATTTTCATCTGGCTTCTTGGTTTCTTCACATGGGTATCTGAAGGGAGTCGCTATATCTGATGTGTCGAGAGGGTAATCAGTTGTATTCATTTATATGACGTTGAGGGCTTTTACTCCTTTTCTCTGATTTTTTTAAGTTTTCTTGTTACTTCTTGTTCTCTTGCCCCTCTCTGCTGCTCTTTATTGCTATATTGAATAATTGGACTATGGACTGAGCTGAACTTGATATATCATAAAATTCCAAAGAAATTTGGTTGACTGACTAACCATATGTTCCTTTGTGCCAACAACAGCCGGTGATACTTGATTATCTAGCCAGCAAGACTATTTGCTCAGATGATTTGGTAGTTGTCTCACCAGATGTTGGTGGTGTTGCTAGAGCACGTGCTTTTGCAAAAAAACTATCTGATGCACCGTTAGCTATTGTGGATAAAAGGCGCCATGCACACAATGTTGCAGAGGTAGAATTCTGTCCTTGCTACTATATTTGTAAACCCCTGATATTTTCTTTCTTTTGGGCAAAAAGCCATTAACGGGGATATTTCATATTAAGCATAAATTATAGCATTATCTGTTTGGAGGATGCCATAACATAGCATGATATGTTTAAGTCTCACATTGAGTAGTATGTGATGGACTATGAGGTACTTAAGTGGATTGGTTTTCACCTCTAACAAAATTTTTTTTTTTTTCGTGTCCTCCCCCACTCCACTACGGTGCCCATTACATATACTTTGTTTCTTTCCATTCTTCTCCTAACATATATTGATATGTTTAAAAAGTATAACAATTATATCACTGTTTAGCTGGCTTGCTTTATCTTTGTAGATATATGAATAATTTAGAATACCTTTTGTACTCTTCTTTCCGTTTCTTTTTCTTTTTTCCCACTTTCAGTTTATATGAATTAAATTAGCAGACCAATAGGACATTTGGTGTCAGATGAACTGCAGAATTACTTGAGATGTTGGGAATTTTTTAATGATTGTACTCTTGGACATGATTGGAGCATGGTGCTAAGATAATTTCTTCTGGATATTTATGACCTGCAAGATTTTAATGTGATATATAACAGAGGTTTTTTTTTTTTTAATTTTTAAATTATTTTGATTTCTTTGCTTTTGTTTTAGGAGTTATGGATCTCCCTGCAATTTCTTTGTTTTTAAGAGATGACCGAAAGTAACATTTGTTTTTTTCCTCCCCTTGGAATTCATGATGAAGGTTCTAATTTGACACTCTTCCTTATGTCCTCTGATTAAGCTGAATCTCATCTTGCAGGTGATGAATTTGATAGGAGATGTGAAAGGAAAAGTAGCAGTTATGGTAGATGATATGATTGATACTGCTGGTGAGTTTATACTTTAGCTTTGACTATTGGGTTGAATTTCGTTAAGTTGTACTGTATTGTATATGATAATTATTTTGTTGTTGTTGTTACAGGGACTATTTCCAAGGGTGCAGCTCTATTGCATCAAGAGGGCGCAAGAGAAGTCTATGCTTGTAGTACACATGCTGTATTCAGGTATATTTATCTTCATGTTTCATATCTCATATGTATAAGCGGCAATCATATAAGAGCTTCTGCAGGTAGAGCCAATCTTCATTTTATATAATTGGTACATGTATACAGAATATATACATATATATTTTGAAGAGAATTGTCCTACTGAAAATTGGACTCTGTAATATACAGAATCCTGAATAAATGAACTATGCAAGGAAGAATATTGAGGCATGGAAATACCTCCGACAAAATTTTTCTTGCTAAAATGTCCTTCCAAACTTTGATTTGAGAGTGATAACCGAGCCTTACAGAAACAAAAGGGATCGTAAATTCATATCACTGAGAAGTGCTTCTCCAGAGTCCAGACCCCTACGAGTAGCCGTGAGTAGCACATCCATCCGTTCCGATGGAAACCATATTTACCAGGAAACATAAGTTTCTTGAGGAAAATGCCCCCGTCATTTTCCTATGAAATTAATGTTTTAGGCCACCATTTTTCCTAAACCTAAACGTCCTTTTTAGTTGGTGATCCTTTCTCATTTCTGTGATAGGACCCAAAAGTCTTTCATGATCACTCTCTAACCTTTAGCTACGTTCAATGGATCCAAAAAAACGTTATGCAGTCACCTGAAGGAAAGAAAGTACCCTTTGAATTATTCAAATGCATGGGATCCCAAAAAGATATTGTAACATTTGGGTTGCCTCCTAAATGCATGCCTAGATAAATGGCATGCCACTGAAGAACCTGCCAAACCACTGGGGAGGCAAAATATGAAGACCCTCATCAGGCTGATGCGTGATCATTTCTCAGTAGTGAGGGTATAAACTCGATGTAGAGTGGTAGTTAGAAGAAGGAAAAGAGAGAGAGAAAGAGATGGGGAGATAGGGAGAGAAGAGGCAGTAGGAGAGAAACAGAGGGATAGAGACGAGACAGATGCTCCGACTGAAATTCACATTAACCCTGAGTTCTGAGTTTCTCTTACAATTTGTTTGTAAACTCCTAATGACTCCTAACGGCTATTAACTAACTAACTAACAACTAACATATAAATTAATTCACAATTTATACATCAAAATTTCACTGCTGTGCTATGTTTCTAATTGGTGTACTTGGTTGGAGTAATACACGAATTATTATGGACTGGGTCCCGCCTCTGGATTAATGAATTTCTTGGGCCGCTTGATGTTATGTATGCTAATACCTTTTTCTTATTTGATTTCATCAACAGAGTGGATCTCTATGTACTTGTTATATTTTTACTTCGCAAATTTTTCTTAATATTGCTCAGAATTTTTGTTTTTAGAATTATTGATAATTAATGAATAAAGGATGTATGATAACAAAAGCCAAACTGCTGATCGTTTACTAAGGTTTGCGTAGTTTTCATTCTAGTTAATCGATATGAAGCGGCTATGCTTATGATGCATCATTGATGCCTGTGCAGTCCTCCTGCTATAGAAAGATTATCAAGTGGCGTGTTTCAGGAAGTTATCATAACAAATACAATCCCAGTGGCTGAGAAGAACTATTTCCCTCAATTAACAGTCTTGTCAGTAGCAAACCTTCTGGGGGAAACTATATGGCGTGTTCATGATGACTGCTCAGTAAGCATCCTGAATTGATGGAGTTTTTTTATATGATTTTTGTTTATTGCTTTCATTAATTGAAAACATCTCTACCTGTGCTTGCGTGCATGTTCATGGTATGTTTATGAGTGCATGTCTATATGTCTCTGCACGCGTGCTTCGCAATACCCGGGCATTGATGTGTGCACATGCATCTGTGTTCTTTTGGGTCGATGAGGCTAGTGTGCTTGAGTTGATGTGTTCACATGAAGTTAGGGTTGTTGAAATTATCTGTGCGCACATGAAGCTAGTGTGCTTGAGTTGATGTTTCAACTTCCGTTTGACGTTTAATTGTTAGCATTATTAGTTTAATCATGATTAATCTAGACCAATTTTAGTTCCATTGGTTTGTTGGATGGGGTTATCATAAGTAGATTTATTTCGCAACTTCCTGTTTTCCCTATAATTTCTTACTTTATCAGGGTGGAATTGAGCCTTATTCCAATTTGGGCATTGATTGATGCTCGTTCTAGCTTATGACGTTGCGGTAACTACCGAAGACTCTAGATGGAATTTGTGGAAAAAGCTGTTCTTAGTCTGTAGAGTTGTTCCGTGGGTATAAGCGGTCCTGTAGATGCGGGAAAAAAAAATTTGTAGTCTAACATTCATAATGGGAAGTCTTACGTGATTCCCTTATTTTTGGTGAATTTTAACTCTGAACAGTTTATGATACTTGGTCATATTGTTCTGTTATATTTCCATATTCTTTCGTATTTTGTTGAATCATTGTCAATTAAGCAAGGATTAATACAATTGCTGGTCTCTCAAATTTGTTCCTATTTTGATTTTGATAAAATTGGTCTCCTAAATTATTTTTTATTTAAAACATTAATCTTTATAATTTAATAAAAATCTAGATCATTTTGTTCTTTAAAGGAGCAAAATCCATAGTTTGCTTGAAAGACAAAATTTTATTGATCCTTTTAGACAAATTTTTATGTCCTATTTCCTTTTACCGTTACTCAATGTGAATCGAAAGTAAATATTCAGTATTGTTGCTGTAAACATTATTGAATGTTGAGAAATGGCATGAATGAAATGGAGAAACTATGTCTTTTAACCACGAAAGACCTTAAACCCCCCGGGGGGGATGAGCAAGCCGCAAGCTATAGGGTGCCAAGGTGAGGAAGAGCTTTCCCCCCAAGAGAGAGGTTATCGTAGGTCCTTCTCTGTGTCCCTAAAAGCCTAGGATAAATTATTATTGGTTTTTAGTTAGTATTACTTCTAATCTTTGATATAAGAATTAGTTGACTAATTTGAGTAAATTAAAAAAAAATTATTAAGTTAGTTATTTGTGACAAATATAAGTTGAATTTCTTAGAATATTTTTATTAATTATGTGTTTTAATTAGAACTATCATTTAATAAAATTTTTAACTTGTGTAATTATTATAAAGACTATTTTGAAAAAAAAGAGAATAAAAATAAAAAACAAAGTGAATTGAGATTTTATATTTAGTATCAAATTGAAATTTGAATTAGTTTTTATATTAAGAACCGGTGTAACACTTACTTTAACTATATCATAATGGTTAATTAATTAGCTGTTGAACCACTAAGCCAAGTTTGATCCTAAGACAAAAGAATATTTTTCTTAAACTCTATTAAAACTTCTAAACAGGTTGATCTGGTATCAAGAACGAGATTTTCAAAAGACTTTTTCAAATAACTCATAGAACGATATGTTCAGTGGTTCAAACATCCCATTATTTTTCTGACTTAAATATCGATGAGCTAATAATATTTGATGTCACAGTAATAGCTGAACATTTATCCACCATCATACAGTCATCAGACGTCATGGCACTTACCTGCTGGCAACATAGCCATCGCTTTCTCTTTACAGAGGTATATACAGCCTATAAATACTTTACATAATTACATATAATTATATAAAAAAAGTATAGCCTCACATGGTTATCAAAATATAACTAGAAGTAAAACATACAAAATAAACTTGATGACTAACAAATTTACTTCTCTAGCTTCCCAACTTTCTTGATTCTTAGCAAATACCATGCTCTTGCCCTTTGAGTCATTAGCCTTTGCTATGTCTTGGATAAAAGAGGTGAGATTTTAGGAATTTCAATAGTGACAGCAGTCTATCATATAATTATACAAAGCTCATAAACTCATACAAAACAAGTCATATTAACATAATCCATGATGCTCAAACATCATAAGCTTTGCAACAAATATAAACAACGATGCTAATGCATCCTGCGCGTTGTAATGTACATGGCCATGGCAATTAAATCTACATCACATACTCATAACCGAGTGTAGCTCTACGAGCTCAACGCAAAGCAAATTTCACATGCTTATACCTAAGTACACCTCTACGAGCTCAACATAAAGTAATTTTCACATACTCATGCTTAAGTATAGCTCTACAAGCTACCAATTGTTCATCACAAAACATATCTGCCCATATATTCATTAAAGAATATAAGCACTATGGCACAACAAAACTATTGCATAAGTATATGAGAGGGAAAGAATCACTACCTGAAGTCTTTTTTCTTTCTTTTTTTTTTTCCAGTTTACCTTGTCTAAATTTTTTCTTTACTGGCTTTTTTGGCAGGCTCGGGCAAATATCAAATCTTATAATTTAGATCTATATATAAATGGGTTAATGCTTAGTTCATTAAACTTTTATTATCAAAATATAACTTTTCTTGACCCATTAATGAACTCTCTTCCTTTTATTTAATAGTTGGTCATCCTGGACAATGTTTCTTACTTAAACTATTCTCTTTGGAAGGTTTTCTCCCTTATTTTAACTCATACTATTATTTTACTTAGTAACTAGTTATCTTGGTCAAAAAATATTTTATATATATATATATATATATCATATTTAAGGACAAACAAGGTGCCCTTCATCCCTCAATTATCTAATCCCATTGAAATAAATTTAATTAAAATCCAACTTCACTAATTTTGCACCCATGGTCGAGGCACACAAACAATTATACATATATAATTGCACCACTTGATTTTATCTCATTTACAAGCTAACCTATTCTCTAAGATTCCTAGGTCACTTAATTAACTTAATCCTCCTTGTAAGTTCTAAAATAACCTTCAATACAACACTTTAAAACATCAACAATCTATCCAATCATATTTTCCTAACTTATCTTCTTTGGCCACCAAACATGTACTAAATTTAATTCTAACCTCCATTATTCAACCTCTAAAGCTCCCCTCAATTCCACTCAAAATTTCAGCTTTTGTTTTTTCAAAAATGTTCTAGACAACAACAATCAAAGGTTCTGAAATTTAAGGTACCGATATACCATCCCCATAATAAAAGCCAAATGAAATGCCCCTGAAATAAAAGGTTACAATTTTCGGATAGTATAAGAGTGTCAAAATCATCCTCCAAAACATCACACAGCACCATCTAATCTTCATATATCTAAACATCACTTGCATCATACCATTCCCCTACCATATGAGCACTCTCGCTTCTTCACAAAATTTGAACAGCATCATTCATTTAATCTGGAATTTTCCAGATTTGAAATATATTCTCCAAAAATTCAAAACTCGACATGTAATCATCTGATAGCCATCTACACAACCATGACCCATCTATATTACACACTTTTAAATATTTATACTATCTTTAACATTTTCATCAGAAAACCCAACGCTATACCCATCAAAACAGGGAGCTTTAGGTTCAGCCAATACTCTTTCTTCACCATCCCTAACATGAAAGCCATGAAACAAACATCACAATACTCTGTCGTTTCTCATGCGTGACTAGTGGTTTCTTCACTTTCTATTAAATTTTCGAATAACAACTTTCCGTGAATATGAAATTTTTCAGATTTTAAGATGTTATTTTAAGCATCATAAATCAAAACCATTCAAGCCCAAAAGTCCCATTTCAATTTCTCTTCTTCTTGTTTAACCAAAAGTCCAGATTCAATAGTTCTCCCAATTCTCACATATACAAGCATTAAAATTAAATAATTTCATCAAACTAAATCCTCTCTACTTCCATAACCCGAAACCATTTAACTATGAGCGTGTATGTATATATCTACATACGTATCACTTTTCACTTCCAATCTGATTTTAGCTTCCAAACTCACTCCTCACGGCATACACACATAAACATAAGCATCTGTATGTATATCTCTCTCTCTAATCTAATTTCAGATCCACTTCAAACACACGAGTTATCATTTACACACACACACGCACGCACGCACGCACGCACAAACATACTCCCCAGAAAGAACCCCCCAAATAGACAAGAAATCCGAAGCCAAAACTTGCAGAAACCATCAACCCCTGTTAACCGTACAAGCTTTAATCTTCACCCCTCCTTACTTATTTTATCCGTTTCCCTCACTTTCTCTCACTAATTCCAAACTTCTTTCATCATCAACTTCCTATTTAGCTACCAAAAACAGAAAACAATCATGGAAGAGGGATTAGGAGGCTCACCTTGCTTGAGTAATTGGTTTGCATGTAACAAATGAACCTCCGATCACTCTCTTCTCCTTCTCCGCTTGTCCTCGGTGCCTCTCGTCTCTCTCTCTCCGATTAGGAGGCTCACTTTCTCTCACTAATTCCAAACTTCTTTCATCATCAACTTCCTATTTAGCCACCAAAAACAGAAAACAATCATGGAAGAGGGATTAGGAGGCTCACCTTGCTTGATTAATTGGTTTGCATGTAACAAATGAACCTCCGATCACTCTCTTCTCCTTCTCCGCTTGTCCTCGGTGCCTCTCGTCTCTCTCTCTCTCAGATTTCAATCGCCAAATGAAGAAAGAAGGAGCAGCTGGTTTGAATCAAATAGGAAGGCTCGAAATGTCCATTATACCCTTCAACAAGTTTTTGTCCTCACTTTCATCTTTTTATTTCTTATTTTTCTGTAATTGTAAAATAAACCCAGAAATTAATTCACAATATTTTATATGGATTTTCCTTATCCAGTAGTTTTCTTAACCCCTAAAATAATTTTTATAAAAATTTCGGATAAAAAATTAATTCCTAACTATTTTTCTTAAATTTTCCAAAAAAATAGCACTTAATTGCATAAATTAATCCTTAACACATTATAAGGATTTTATCCTTCAGTTATCATCTTCTCCACATTAAATAATTATTCTAAAATTTCCAGCTTAAATATAAATCTCTAACTATTTTTTCTTGAATTTTCTGAGAAAATAGGCTATCTTTGCTTTGAAAAAAATTAGTTTTAAAATTATTTAAGCCACTTTTGAGAAATAAACTTTTCCAAAATATTTCTAAGTCCTCAAATTTAATATTTCAGCATTTTCCCGGTCTATTTAGACCTTAAATAATTTTAAATAGATTTTTTCTTTTATGCTTATTCTAAGTCAGAAAACTTAGAGTGTTACAACCGGTCTTTAATGTAAAAGTAGATTGACATTCAATTATTTGATCCTAACTATGAAATCTCGATTTATTTTATTTTTTATATTTATTTATTTTTCAAGATAGTTTTTATAGTAGTTACACGTTATAGTTTTAGCTAATACATATTATTAGTAAATGTATTTTAAGAAAAAAGCACATATTTATTACGAATAATAACTAACTTAACTAATTTTCTTAATCTACGTAAATCAATTAACTAACTCTTCTTTTAAGGGCCAAAGGTAGTAAAATTCTTTTTTGTTTTTTTTTTTTTGGGTACAACTTTTTTGAGTTAACTGTTGCCATATGGTTTACCACCAATGAAACATTCAGCATGAAAGTTAATTGAAAATGTTTGAC